CACTGAGATATATAGTGGTTCAACGTTTGTCCTCGCCCTACTCTACTCTTCAAGGTTTCCCAATGGAACATGTTGTGTTCCCAATCTCTTGTGGTTAGGTCGAGTATGAAAGCTGAATATTGAGCTCTATCTCACACTACCTCTAAGCTGTTGTGGCAGGAATTTCTCCTCACTGAACTTCAAGTTCCATTTTATCCTCTCATTCAGCTACGTGATAGCTTGAGTACAGTCATGTTGTCTCACAATCCAGTATTGCATGCTCGCACCAACACATTGAACTTGATACCCACTTTGTAAGAGAAAGAGTTGTTTCCAAGAAACTTGCTATCCAACATGTTTCGGTCTTTGCTCAGCTAAAAGACACACTGACAAAACCTCTAGGCACTTCAGCATTCCAAGGGTTGTGAAGCAATCTCAAAGTGGTTTCATTCAAACCCCCTTGATCTTGAGGAGGAGTGTTAGATATGTATAAGAAATGCAATAGTGAGATGAGTTAGTTTTTGTTAAGAGTTTGTTAGGTTGTTAACATGACAAACTATACCAATGTATGTTGTATAAATATCTCATGGCCTTAGATTGAAAAGTTAAGTTGAATAAAATGAAACTAAATACAATGCAGATTCATTTCCCTTTCTCTCTGCATTCACTCAATTCTATTAATGAAATATTTTATAATCATATACACTCTATGATTGATTATTCTTCAACTAAGCATGTTTTTGACTATTCAAAAGAGACTTTCAAAATAATTTGAAAAGATGAAGTTAGAAAAATATTCTTGTGAGTGTGTATATGTACTTTTAGAAAAGAGAGAGCCACACACTTTATTATAATGGGCTTAAATATGGTAAAACACTCAAGCTTTGGATCAGAGGCATGATTTAACAATCAGGTTCATTTTTTATGATGTTCATATTCTTTTATCTTGTTGATTCAATCATAAAAAATGATACTTCACACATTTTAGTTCATGTCCATTCTTTATTGATGTTTATAATGTTTTATTTTAGTGAGTCAGTTATCAAAACATGTATGCACTTAGAACCACAATCTCATGTTTCTACCATATCTTTCTTCTTACTTTCTTTGATATTACCATGCACTACAAGAAAAGTTGTATATACCCACGGATCATTACCCACGGCTATGTAGTCATCGATAATTTTTTTGGTATAGAGGGTTTATTCGTTAGTAATTCGTGAGTACCTGAAACAATATCAATTATATCTTTTTTAAACATTATCCACGGCTTAGCCATGGAAAGCAGCCACGGTTTTGCACCGTCGGTAATTACCCACGGTTAAACCCTCGGTAAAGTCTTATAAACTTATATAAATAATAATTTTTAAAAGGAACTAAAAATTACTTAAAATCTTATACTTAAACTAATAAGTTTGGATATATTAATAATATAGTTTTTTATTCTAATTATAAAATAAGTATAAATTTTTTATTATAAAGATAAATTATTAGTGTTAGTGTTTGTAACAATTTGGATACATTTATATTATAATTTTTTTGGGACAAAGATAAACAAATTATATTTGATAAGGAGAAGCGGAAGTGAGCTAGCGGTTCAAACCCTCCTTCAGACTTTTCTCTGCTAGCGGCTTGCACCCTCGTTCTTCAAACTTCTTTCATCCTTCAAATTTCTCTCAACCGCGATTGTTTTCTACCCAAATTCTTCACGGTAAGTTCACTTCTCACTTCTTAGACTTTATTTTTTTCTTTTTATTTTCAAAACCCTAATTTTATAACTTTTCTTTCTAATTTATCGATTTCTTGTTATTATTATCAATCTTTGTTTTGCTGTTGTCTTTGATATTGTTATTGTTAGTTGTTGTTAATTTTGGGTACTATTGACACTTTCTTCAATTGATTTTTTAATACAGAGTATATAAATGTTATTATTCTGTTTATTATTCTATTTTCATTGCTAAATATACATTATTAATGTTCGAAGGTAGATAATGAACTATCGATGAATATATCCACCTACATTCTGAATATGTTGCAAGTCATCTCTTACCAGTGTTTAATTTGGTTAAGAAAAGTTTGTTCTTTAAATCCTTTGTTGGTCTAAATTCATTATGTATATGTTGCAACTGAGATATGTAGTTTTATTATTCTTCGGCTTCAGTTGGTCTAAATTTGCCTTGAGGCCACTATGCTAAGTTTATTTAGATGAAACATGTTATCAGTGAAAATTTGTATAGCAATTTTCTAACCAAAACATAAGTAGTTGGAAAAGTAACTTCCAACAAATAGTTTCCCTAACAAATCATCCTGCACTTATCTATCAGGGCTTTATAAAACAATGATACAAAATCATCCTGCAGAAATATCCATCAGATACGTGATAGAATATCCAAGAATTACCATTGCCTTTTATATTTTTTTTAAAGAAAACTCCACTTGTGTGGACTGCAAGATTCTAGACATGTACTCTTAACAAACTATAAAATAAGTCTTTGTGAAAGATAATCCTCATAAATCTAAACCAGGATATAATTGTTGCCAAGTATCATGTGGACAGAAGTTAACAAACTAGGGTGTAAGTGGAAGGTAAGAATTAATATAATTTGTGTTCTTATAATTTATTTGGATAGTTAGATTGAACTATCTAAATTCAATAGAGATTATTTTAAAAAAAAATACTAAATTTAAAATTTTAATCATATCTGATTTTGATCCAAGTATTATGGATACTCTGACTTTGTAAGCTAATGAAAAAATATTCATTCTTATATTTTTTTCAATGTGTGTTAATTAACATCAATGCCTGGCTTAAAGGTTTTTGTTAGAATGTTACTTTTATGCTTCCTAAATTTTAGTATGGAAAAGTCATATAATTAGATGATATTATGTATGTTTTTATTAAAATTATTCTGTGTTATGATTTGAACATTCTATGAAAATAGAAAAATAAGCTTTCAAGTAAACAGTTTACTCATTTAAGTGCCTATGTTTAATTTTTCATAATTTCATATAATCTATTTTGATAGCTAACGGTGAAATATTGTTAAATTGTTATACATACATATATATATATATATATATATATATATATATATATATATATATATATATATATATATATATATATATATATATATATATATATATATATATATATATATATATATATATATATATATATATATATATATATATATATATATATATATATATATATATATATATATATATATATATATATATATATATATATATATATATATATATATATATATATATATATATATATATATATATATATATATATATATATATATATATATATATATATATATATATATATATATATATATATATATATATATATATATATATATATATATATATATATATATATATATATATATATATATATATATATATATATATATATATATATATATATATATATATATATATATATATATATATATATATATATATATATATATATATATATATATTGTTATGGGTGTTTCTCTGGCAATGAATAGCTTAAGAAGATAAGTGTTTAAATTCACTAATCTGGGATAAATGAAATTAACTTATTTAGTTTTCATTTATTAATAACAATCCAAACATCTGAAGTCTCTGTTGTATATAGGATAAGCATCTGAAGTCTCTGTTGTATATAGGATAAGTGAGATTTAAGTTCTTGTAAAACTATATTAATAGGTACAATCTGAAAAAATATATTAATAGGTACAAGTAGTTTTCAAGGAATAGAAGAGTTGGAAAAGATTCAGTCCACCACCACATGGGTAAAATTTTGGAAGTATATTACCACTTTTCACCCTTTTCTGACTAAACTTATAATTCAAAGTCCAAACTCCCCTCCAGCTATATGAGTTCTAGTCCAAACTTATTTTTGAACATTGACATGAGTTCTAGTACCACACCCTGGTAACTAAATTTTTGTTATGTGTATATATATACTTGATTTTAAAGACAATTTTAATTTGAAATTTTTACAGCATTCAATTTACCGACCTGTTTTGGTGTTGGTAATATGCAAAAGAAAATATGTTGTATCTGTTAATGAGCTTTCAGTTACTGATTTGCTTGAAGGGTATTTCAGAAGTTTTATGTTTATTCATATTGGATTCTATATTTTTCTGTGTGTCGGCTATTGTTTATGTGATATATGGATGATTTGGTTTTCTTTTCTGGAATATGTATTTAGAAAATGTGCATGTGTAAACTAAATCTAACTTCTTTAACTTTTTATTGTTTCTCTTTTAGTTGGATAAATGACATCTCTGCCATATTGTTCTGAGAGCTTATGGTAGTATACCATATACGATATGATAGATTTACTTCTAGTTTAGACATATACTACCACTCAATCCAAAATAAAAATTAGTTTTGTATGTATATAACTTTAGAGGTATATGTAGTTAGATGCTCTTATCTTGTACTATTTATTTGGTAACTGCATATAATTTAGTGTGGGAAGTTATGTTGCACAGTTAATTTTTGTAGTGGATGAAATTGGATTTTAAAATATAGTTATAGATAAGATTGCTGATTTTTTAATTTATTTCTTCTGTCTAGATAGCTTCAAGTCATCAATAAAGTAAGTGATTGTATATGGATCGTTACCCTCCAGAACGTAGTTGGGTATATGATAGGCATTATCCTCATAGGGGGTTTGAAACTAACCTTTGTAAACGGGGTTGATGAGTTCATTAAAAAGGCTAAAATGCAACTTAATGTTGAACGCGATGGTGGAATTAGATGTCCTTGTAACAAGTGCATGTGTGTGTCGGTATTGTCCGAAGGTGACGTTAGATTTCACTTGTATAAATATATATGGGTTCCAACCAAATTATTGGTATTGGACAGATCACGGTGAAAAAGCCCCACGTATTGACTCAGCAAATGTACCAATTAGTAGTAGACATGTGGATAATGAAGACCATTTTGAATTAATGCAACATATGGTCGAGGATGCAATAGGGCCTGGTTATGATTTTCGAAGTATGGGCAACAAAGGTGATAAGGATGTCGATAACGAATATAATGTTAATGAGGATGTGGGAAATGAGAATGAGGTTGGTGAGGAAAGGGGGATTAATGAAGATAATGTCGATGAATATGAGGTTGATAGAGAACAGGTTAATATGGAAGACAATCATGAAGAGCCACCAAATAAGGAAGCTCAAGAATTTTATGATCTGCTAACTTTTGCAAACCAACCATTATATGAGGGTGCTTCTGAATCAAAACTTTCAGTATGTGTGAAGCTTATGGCTTGCAAAACAAATTGGAATGTACCTCAAAAATGTATTGATTTCTTTGCAAACATGCTTCTAGAAGTGTGCCCTTCAAAGGATTCATTGCCAAAAAAATTCTACCAAGTAAAAAAGTTGGTGTCCATGCTTGGTTTGAAGTCTCAGAAAATTGATTATTGTGTGAATGGGTGCATGTTGTACTACAAAGATACGATTGCAGATCGAGAGTGTAGGTTTTGCCATGAACCACGATATGTTCCTCGTAAGCCTGGGATGGGTAATTACAATGACGTTCTGGTTAAGAGAATGCACTACTTGCCAATCACTCCAAGGTTAAAAAGATTGTATGCCTCAATAGAAACTGCAAAAGATATGAGATGGCATCATCATAATAATTCAAGTTCATGTGTTTTACGTCATCCATCTGATGGTAAATCTTGGAAGAATTTTGATGAGATGCATCCGGACTTTGCGAATGAACCAAGAAATGTGAGGCTAGGTTTATGTTCTGATGGTTTTACACCATACATTCAGGCATCTTCATCCCCATATTCTTGTTGGGCCTGTGATTGTGACACCATATAATCTCCCCCCTGAATTGTGCATGACTAAACCATTTATGTTTTTAACATGCCTCATACCAGGACCACATAATCCAAAAGCTCACATTGATGTGTACTTACAACCATTAATAGACGAGCTTCAGAACTTGTGGAATCAAGGGGTTTTGACTTATGATATCTCCACTCAACAAAACTTTGTAATGAAGGCAGCATTAATGTGGACAATTAATGACTTTCCAGCTTACGGTATGTTATCAGGGTGGAGTACTCAAGGCAAGTTGGCATGTCCAGTGTGTATGGATGGAAATAAGGCTTTTACACTGGAATATGGTGGAAAAAATTCGTGGTTTGATTGTCACCGTAGGTTCTTACCACGTAATCATGCCTTTCGAAGAAGTAAGAAAAGGTTCACAAAAAATAAAGTTGTGAAGGAAGAGCCACCTTCTATATTGACAGGAGAAGAAATATATTGTTGGGTTCGTGATCTTTGGGAACTTGTAGACAATCGAGTTTCTAAATTAAAAGGATATGGAGAACTCCAGATTTTAGGCCACATGAGGCAATAGAAACATCTTTACATGTCAGAGATCCTTCCTCATCAGCTCAAGGTTCACGACACATGTCGGATCCAAACACTCAATCTGGTTCGCTACATGTGCAAACCAGTGATGATCTGGTGCAAGAATCAAGACACTCTTGTCATGAGATTCATAAGACAACTGATGGGAGGCCCTATATTTTTCCATATGGGAGAGGGTACATATTTGTTTTATGTTAACTTATCACTTATGTTGACGTGTCTATAATGTATTTTAATATTTTGTTTATAATTTGCATGTAGGTGGAACCTGATAACACGAAATTATATAGATATTTTCATGCATAATTCAATTAAAGTCTAACCGTTTTCGATCCGATTTCGGGTTATTTCCGTGTATTTGTCTGATGTTTTGCAGGTATTCAACGATCACGTCTAAACAAGGCAACATGAAGAAAAGAAGCAATCTCAGATGAAATATGGACGAAAAAGGAGTGAAAACACAATGAAAAGCGCAGCAAGCAGTTTTTGCTGATGTGACGACCGTCACAGCTTCATGACGACCGTCACACGGGTGACGACCGTCACACCTTGTGACGACCGTCATGCAGGCAAAAACGCCCCACTCAGATTACACGTCAAAAGAGCAGTTCCAATTCCCATAAAGTGGACCACTACTCCCTAAATTATCTGCCTCAAGGTTCATCATCCTCAGAGATAACCGTTGGGATTCCACTTCTATAAAAAGGGAAGCAGAGGACTTCAAAAAGGTGTGCTGCATTCATACCACGAAGTGCTGCCGAATTTAATTTCCAGAGCAAATTACTTTCCAGTTTTTATTTGTATTCATTTCCCTTTACATTTCCTTATTCCCATTTCCGCTCTTCTGTAATCTCCATTGTATTGTACGATCAAATTGGCACTAAAGACCAGAATCCTGCCAACATCTGTGGAGGATCTGCCCAAAGGCCAATTAGCATATTTACAGGTTTTCATTTTGATTGACTTCTGTTTTATTATAATGCAATTTATTATTTATTATTCTTATTTATATTTTGTTTTTCCCAATTCCATGTCTAGCTAAACTTAGGTAATCGATATGTAGTAATAATTCGAATGGGATTTGATAACTCTTGTTTGAAAACTTTCTTTTCACAAAAGTAATTTATGGTCTGAGTGTTTAAAATTGATTCACTGAATAAACTTCGTCGCGAAAGCGAGAACTTATTTAAAAGTAGTTTTGCCACGAAAGTGGGAAATTAATTAAGATACGAACCAACAAGCGAAAGCTGCGGTAAGGTCAGATAGTAAACACTAGGCATTGGTTTTAATAACAGCGAAAGCACTTTAAAATGAATTAGAACTTAGAGATTTCCAAAAAATAATTTTAACCCCAAACGGGATACGAAAGTGTACGTTTGGCCCTTAGGATTATGATTAGCGTCAATAACCATCGTGAGACGAGAGTCTTCAAATCTCCATTTTCTGCTTAAATAAACTGTGAAAACTATTTCATACACCAGTAATTTATCAAATCCATGAAGAACACAATTACTACGTATCGATTCAATTAATTATAATCTAAATAGTAATCTTAGTTCCCTTTTTAGTGACAATCTTATTCCCTTAAACATATTCTACCTAGCTAAACATAGTAACTCCCGAGAACACTAGTTTGATTACGAGTCCCTGTGGGATCGATATCTATTATTACTACGCGATAGACTGTGCACTTGCAGTTAGTTGTATTAGACATAGAAAGTCGCGATCAAGTTTTTGGCGCCGTTGTCGGGGACCCGTTTAGTCAATAGTGTAACCTTCTGTTACGCCGTATAGACTAGGTTAACAATTTTCATTTTTCCTTTACTAGTTCTGTCGATTGTATGCCAAGAAATCGCCCGCAAAGCGATATCGTAAAACCTTCAGTCGCAGAACTAGAAAGCTTCTTACATTTAAGAAGTAGAATCATTGAGTACCAACTCAAACAACTCAAACATAACACTCCCAAACCTCTCACTCCCATTCCCAAATCAGAAGAAGAAGAACTAGAGATGGCTGAAGGACCTCCGAACAAATCGCTGAAGGCATACGCTACACCATCTCAGATGGAGCCTAGAAGTAGCATTGCTGCCCCAGCTATTACCCGAAATGATTTTGAGCTGAAACCGTCATTGCTGTCGGCTGTACAACAAAACCAATTCTCAAGAAACGCAACTGAGGATCCGAACGAACATCTAACGAAGTTTGTACAATACGCAGACACAGTGAAAGCAAATGGAGTAACTCCAGACGCGATAAGACTTCGTCTTTTCCCATTCTCTCTTAGAGACAGAGCGTGGACATGGTTGCAATCGTTACCATCCAACTCCGTTACGACATGGGAGCAATTGAAGAACGTCTTCTTAGCGAGATATTTTCCGCCAAGCAAAACTGCTATGCTTAGAGCTCAAATCAACGGATTTCGACAGAAAGATACTGAATCTCTTTACGAAGCATGGGAACGATTCAAAGATATGATGAGAACATGTCCTCACCACGGTCTAGAAGACTGGGTGACAATCCATACTTTCTATAATGGGCTTCTATACAATACTAGATTGACAATAGACGCTGCCGCGGGCGGTGCACTTATGGATAAGCCATACGATGAAGCCTATCAATTAATAGAGAACATGTCACAAAACCATTGCCAATGGGGAGGTGAACGCACTCCAACTGAGAAAACCACAGCGAAAGGTGGGATGTACGAAATCAGCAGCCTTGAAAAGTTCAATGCTAAAGTAGATGCTCTAGCACAGAAGATTGATAGTCTGACCGTCAACCCCACTGCAACTGTCGCTGCAGTAACTCCAAATTGCGAGTTATGTGGAAGCACCACTCATAATGCACCCGAATGCCCATTGCTAGCCGGAATCCCGCCAGACCAGGTAAATTATGCTCAAGGAAATCCCTACGCAAACACCTACAACCCAGGTTGGCGAAATCATCCAAACTTTTCTTACAAAAGCGAAAATACATTGCAAATGCCTACTGCTCCGCCAGGATATCAGAAACCAGCTGCTCAGAATGCACCTAGGAAATCAAACCTCGAATTGATGATGGAAAAGTTCATAGCTACTCAAGCTCAAACAAACAAAGAATTCCTGAATCAAAACATACACACTAGCGAGCAAATTAAACAGTTGACAGGAAAAGTAGACGCTTTAGCCACCCACAACAAAATGTTAGAAACTCAGATATCACAAGTGGCTCAACAGCAAGCATCTGCTGCCGCACCTGCTGGCACATTTCCTGGACAACCCGAACAGAATCCCAAAGGCCAAGCAAATGCTGTGATACTAAGAAGTGGAAAAGAATTGGACGAACCGATCGATCCGAGGACCGAAAACTCAGCCATGCAACAAAAACCAACTGAACAAGCAGAAAAGGAATCTGAGTTAGAGAAGAAGGAGGACAACGAGAAGGAGGATACCGCAAGTGAAAAAACTCAAGCACCTCCAGCGCCATATAAACCACCTATTCCTTATCCGCAAAGACTAATAAACTCTAAAACTTCAGGACAGTTTAAGAAATTTGTAGAGATCCTTAAACAGTTGAATATTACTATTCCTTTTACAAAAGCAATAACTCAAATGCCGTCATACGCTAAATTTCTCAAAGAGATCCTGTCGAATAAGAGAAAGATCGAGGATAACGAAACAGTTACACTTACTGCAGAGTGTAGCGCTATACCGCATGCCTCCTAAATTAAAAGACCCAGGTAGTTTCTCCATACCCTGCGTCATAGGAAAGTTCGTAATAGACAAAGCTCTATGCAATTTAGGAGCCAGTATCAGTGTTATGCCCTTATCTATATGCAAAAAGCTGAATATGGGAGACCTCAGGCCAACCAAAATGTCCGTACAATTAGCTGACAAATCAGTAAAATACCCCGTCGGAATACTGGAAAACGTTCCAGTACGCATAGGACAATTATACATTCCAACCGACTTCATAATTATGGACATTAAGGAGGACATTGTAACCCCAATTATCCTAGGAAGACCGTTCCTAGCTACAACTGGAGCCATTATAGACGTGAAGAAAGGAAGGCTAACATTCGAAGTAGGAGAAGAAAAGATAGAGTTCATTCTCACCAAGTTCTTACAAGCACCAGCAATAGACGATACCTGCTATTTAGTAGACGAAATTGACGAATTCATAAGAGAACTTGAAAATGAAGAGACCACGTATTCAGAAATAATAAAGATTCAAATACCCGACGTTTCTGAAGACGATAATTGGCGTAAACCGTACAAAGACGACAGCCTAAGCGAAAGCTTAGCACTGACTCCAAACCATATGCCAGGTCCGAAGAACCCATCTTTAGAACTTAAAACACTACCCAAAAACCTCAGATATGAATTTCTAGACGATGAACTAAAAAGACCAGTGATAGTCAACGCCGACTTAGGACAACCAGAAACCGAAAAGTTATTAGAAGT